TCTAATGGAAACAAGAAATACTGAGAGCTCTTAACGTTCGAATGCCAATAGACTATTGGAACGAGAACTTAATGTTTGAACGCCAATAAACTATTCGAACGAAAAGAGTTTACAGTACTTTGGTCTCTGACAGAACTCAAAAGTATTGGGAGTTCACCACGTTCGAACGCCATTCACCATTAAACGATATGTTTAAAATCCTTCAAGACATGTTCGAACATTACCCACGTTCGAATGTCATTTCTCAGGCTATAAAAGCCTGGATCGTCTTCCCCATTCTAAAATCCCCAAAACCCTTCAAAAACCTCAAAACCTTAGAGCGATTTTTCAAAACCCAGACCTCAAAACACCTCCCATTCTCCATTTCTACCAAAAATCACCCATCCCAAGACCATTCCAACATCAAAAATCCCCATTTTCACCAAAAACTCAAGATTTTCAAAACCCTCACAAGCTCAAAACCGAAAACACAATGCCTCTAAGGGTCAAACTGTCTGCGAGGTGCAACCCCACAACTCAAGAGCCCAATTTCATGGAAGAAATCATTGAGGAAAGGGAAGGGAGGCTAGTAGTTAAGAGATATGACTGAACCCGATTCCCCAGCACCCTCAAAGCTGACAAGTATGAGAATTTTTTTCGAAACCATGCTATAGTGTGTGAGCGTGATGTGGTGTTGACTAATTTTGTGGAGTTGGGGATATTGGCGGAGATGGAGAGGAGTAATTGGGTGTTGTATCTGCGAAACGGAAGAGAGACCATTGTTGACTTGGTGAGATCATCAACGGAGCAATCTGAACATATGTGATAGGGACACACATTGATGTGCATGAGGAGTACATTAGGGAGTTGAGGCAAGAAGTGCCTCGAGTGCAAAACCTGACATACCCCCCAAAAAAGAATGTAGCTATGAATGTGGTTGGGGCAGAGTTGACTGATGTGAGTGGTTTTTTGTGGTTGGGGAAGAGATTTTTTACACAAGGGGAGTTCACGAACAAGAATAAAATGCTAAATTTGATTGCGATGTCTAACCTTGCCCTAATAGGACGAAAAATTGAAATTTTACCCAACATGGCCCGTCTACTCTATGCACTTGGTAAAAGCCAAAGCATTGATCTCCCCTCCCTTATCTTGACAAAAATGAAGAAAGGTTGTGACAAGAAAAGAAACTCCCTTCCCTTCGGCACCCTAGTGACTGAAATATGCAAAGACCACGGGGTTAGGGTAAGGCCCAAAATGGAAATCCAAAAGCCAATGAAGCCACTAAACAAGGCGTCTTTTAGGAGGAGCCAAGGTCATAGTAGCACCCCAGTGGCTAAACAAGAGATGCCACCCACCCAAAGAGTGGATGAGGTGTAGGATGAGCTCGACCAGGAAGAGGAGAGAGATTTAGAGGCGGAGAGAGAGCAAGCACAGACACAGGAGGCGGGCCCCAGCACGAGTACCCAACGCTTTTTACGAGACATCATGCTTAGCATTGAAGCTAAGCAGGCTGAGATCCTACGCTTACTGAAGGGTAGAGACAGCTGGTGGACTTAGTGGAGGAGATTGATTTTTGTTCTTGAGTGTAGTTGTAGCCTTTGTTTCTTATTTGGATGTGATTCTTCTTTGGTAGCTTCTTGGGGATATTTGTAGTTATTGTGGATATTTGTTTCTTCTGTGGTGGATGTTTGTTTCTTTTTGGATCATTAATTGAGGAAACTCGCAGTTTTTTGTGTTTTGGTCAATTCTTGTATGGATGGATTGAATCTTTGGTATTATTGTAAACGATCATATTATGTGAATGAAGGATTCAATTTATCACTTTTATCTGTTTAAATGCATAGGTAGAATTAGCACATTAGTAATTGATAATGAATGGTGAAATGGATGTGCATTCTAAGGTAATTGAGATAGACATAGGTCAATACTTGATTAGGACTAAAATCGCAAAACCTATTCACCCCCCTCTAGATTAAGTGTTTTGGTTTTCATGTGTAAAATCGTGAGGGAAGATCCATATCAGATTCCCCTTCCTGGAACAACAGAATGGACTTACTGGATTTTAGTTGAGTATAAAGAGCAATTTGAACAAGCAAATATTTTTTGGTGTCATGGTTGTGTCATTCTACTCATATGAGTGTTGCAAGGATGTTTGGAGGGCTTTTAGTAAGTTATGGAGTCCATTAAACAATACTTTTCACCACGGTATTGGTGAGCTAGGCATTTCATTATATGACTTGAAAGTCATAGGTGGTCTACCAGTTTTAGGCACTCCTTATGAATAATTTTTACATCCGAAATAGGAATTGCTTGATGAGGACGGATATCCTCCCACTATAACTAAACTTTTAAGGATCCATGCCACTTTGTGTGATCACCTTTGGGAGTCAAAGGTGACTTGGATTCAATGGATTCACTTCTTTTATAAGAGAGAAATGGTGTATATCAGTTTTGGGGAGAATTCTAATTCTATTTACAAGAAAGGTGAAGAATTATGCTCCACAATGCATCAATTGCCTTTGGAGGTATCATCAAGAGGGGCATTAGCTACTTATTTAGCTTTGTGGCTTAGCAAATTCATTTTTCGTCATGGAAATAGTGTGGTGCATCTAGAGACTATTTATATGGCATCTTTGCTGGACAAGGGGGTTGTTGTTTCACTTGCCCAAAGTGTTATGGGTTATATCTATCATGCGTTGGTAGAAATTGCTACTCACCCTAAAAGCTCCAAAGCAAAGAATCCAAATTTCCCATTCATTACATGCTTGGTTGGTTGAGAGAGCATTTCCCAATTTTGTACCATCGTCGACCTCAGGATGAATTTCCTCCTAAGTATCAATTTTTGATCAGATATTCAGGTGTTTGAGGATTGGAGCCTTGTCAAACTACTTTCTCATTAGAGAGATTCTTTCCATTGATATTAACCGAGCTTGGACCAAATATTGATCATCTTACAAGAAAATTTACAACTGGCCTCATGGAAGAAGTAATTGGTCAAATCTCATTATGTTTTCCATCTGAGATCTTATTGGAGTCCTGAGCTAAAGTGATGAAATCACTTCAAATGATCTGTGGGGTAATTACTGAAACTGATCCAAGGATGGATAAGGTTGATTGGTTTACCAAAACTATCGCATAGACCTTTGAATTGTCTGAAACAATTGCTTGCAATGACATTGTGTTAAGGCAAGTTACTAAATTTGATGAGGGTGAAAGAAAGTTTGAGCTTGGAGTTAACAAATGCCTCGAAGCAATCAGATGACCTAAAAAGCTAAAGAAGCACAAATTTTAGAAGAATGAAGAATCCGAGCTATGAGAGCTCAACTAGAAATTGAACAATTTGATTTTGAGGATAAAGTCAAACAATTTGAGTCATCTCTAGGAGAGCAAGATGTAGTCGTTCAAGAGCTTCAAAAACTAACGCTTGAGGCAAAAAAAGAGGAATTTCAAGCAATTGAAGCTCGTAAACAAGAATTTTAGAAACTTCTTAATTCTTTGCGCTTGTTTTGTGGCAAACATTAATTTTTTTCTTGTAGACCCTTTCATCAATAGTCATCAATAAAAGATTTTGGAGCCTCTTTGACTTTTGAATTTATTTTCCTTTTGCTACTCTCACCAAAATTTTGTGCAACAATTTTACTGGGACATTAATCAGCTTAGACACTTGAAAATGTCATCAGTGGAAAATTTTGAAATTCTTTTTTGGTGGTTGGACCTCGTTCAACTAGACTGCCTACATACCCTTCGCATGATCAAGTTAACGTAGTTCAAATTTCTTTTTATGAAATATGAATTTTATTTTTTTGGTTGTTGCGCCTAGTTAAACTAGACTGTCTACGTGTCATCAAAGGATAAAAGCCCACTTAATTCAAATTTTGTTAGAAATTTTTTTTTTATGATTTTTTTTTTTTGGTGGTGACTTCGTCTAGTTAAACGAAACTAGCTACGTACCCTTCACCAATGTAGTTTAAATTTTGTTAAAATTTTTTAATTTTTTTTGTTAGTGGTTGCATCGCGTTAAACTAGACTACGTACGTACCATTTGCAGGATTAAACCAATGTAATTCAAATTTTGTTAGACAAATTTGGATTTTCTTCTTTTTTTTTTTTTTGAATTGTTTTTCTTTTTGTGGTTACACCTAATTAAACTAGACTATATACATACCCTTCATAGGATAAGCCAACGTAGTTCAACTTTTGTTAGAAAAAATTGGGTTTGAATTATTTTTTTTTTTTGTGGTCATGCCTAGTTAAATTAGACCGTCTATTTACTCTTCCTTGGATCAAGCCAACGTAAATCAAATTTTTTAGATTTTTTTTTTTTTTGGTGGTTGCGTCTAGTTAAATTAGACTACCTACATACTTAATAATTGAACTTAATAAAATAAAAAAATTACAAGTATAATTTCTCTCAAATAAGTCTTAAAAAATGTACTCACCCAATTTTCCATTGATTGAATCAGCTAGACTTGGTGGAAGTCTTGCACGTATATTGAACTTTAGATTATAAATATCAATGCCGCTCCTCAATTACCTGGAATTTTTGACAGGTTAGTTTCAGTCATTGGTCTGTTTATATTCTCTGTCTCCCTCTCCAATCATCGTGTGAAGCAATAAGACTTTTTTCCCATGGATGTAAAGGCATCGCTGTACTGAGTGTTACTCCGCTGCGAGTAGCCTTCCATTTTTTTGTCACAGTTCTGAAACTATTACGGGGAGGGGCTGATGAAGTTTAAACCCACAACCTAATCGTCCAACAGCGGACTGCAAAGCCATTAGACCACTGCTTATCTTTGCTGCGAGTAGCTTTTCATGATAAATAAAAAAGCTGTTGCAGCACCTGACAGTTGGTTCCTATGAGTTTCAGGTTCATTGTTAGTCAAGTCTTTGGAAGTGGTACCTCGAACTTGATATCGCTTCCATGTGTTTCCTTTCGAAACAACCTAAGTGAGGCAATTTTGTGTGCACAGAAGTAGGCTTCATTCGAGATGGGTTTGGTTGTCAATGTGACAGTGGTGTGTCCTATTAAGGTTAGGAGAGGAATCCTCTAGTATTGTGATGCACAAGGATATCCCAATTTACAGGTAACTTTGCAGTTGAGGTCTCCTCAATGAATCACCTCTCTAGTCCATATTGCACTAGAGGTACAGTGAGAGTCCTTGATTTTTACAGGTCTAAATGCGCTGTATCACTTTCAAACTGTTCAGATAATCTCAAACCTCAAACTAAACTAATACATGTTCACTTTGGTCATGAAGACCTAAAATACAAAAGTTAGCTAGCCAATATAATGCTCACATGATTGGAAAATTCACCATTTGGTATTTGGAATCCTCAATGAAAATTAACCGCATTCTTGGACCAGATCACAAAGCTGTTTAAGCGTGTTTGCAACATTACCCAGGCAAGAAATAAGCTTGTCACCTTGAAGTCTGGTGATATCAGTCTGGAAGGCCTCTGCATTTCTCAAATCGGCCAATCTGTAGTCCACATCCTCTGCTAGGTTTCCTTTAAGTATGTCATTGATGAGTTCTGCATTTTCACGCAGTCGTTTAGCCATCATTTCTTCCATTCCTTCTATGGTGCTTTTCCCCCCCAACGTTTTTTCCTCTAAGCTGCATTTTGGAGGTTCGGACTTCTCTTCTAAACTCCATCGCTCAGGCTTTATCTTTCCAGTTTTGCCACATCTTGGAGGCTTTACCCTCTGTTGTTTGCTGCATTTCTTGGTCTTTTCCTCTATGCTGAGTTTTGGAGGTTCGGATTTCTCTTCTAAACTCCATTGCTCAGGCTTTTGCTTTCCAGTTATGCCATATCTTTGAGACTTTAGCCTTTGTTGTATACTGCATTTCTGAAGCATCGCCCTGCGCCTCTGCTTCTTGCAACGTACTGAAAACATCAGTATAAAAGCTCAATTGGCAGGAACTTTAGATCGTTACATACAGCCTCTTTTGGTAGACGTGTTTAGATTTCGAAAATCCATCAGATTCACTATCATAAGAGAAACTTGTGCCATAAGATGACTGAACCTGGCAGTTTATTTTTGAACTTCAGACTTTCCAAATTCCAAGTGATTGGAGCTTATAGTATGCAGTTTTTGCAGTTCCATAAAACTCAGTATCCGCATTTGTGTCAGAGACTTTAGTCAAGACTGAAACAGTATCAGTCTGCCAGATGAAAATGATACAATAGGTCCAGCCAAGAAAGTGTGTAAGATCTTAAGATTTGGATTTAGACAATTTTGTACATTTTTGTCATACCAGAAGTTTATTTGCTTCAAATTAATATATCAAGCGATTAAAACTCATTACCATGGTCTCTATCTGAGAAAAAGTCATCAGTCATGACAAGATGGACAAAAACTTGAAATACCATTTCCAAATTCGAAAATTTGCCTTCCATTTTTTTGGTCTGACAAGTTAGAATACATATATATGTCGGGGTAAACCAGTCAAATACTATTCATATTTATATAGAGTACTTTCTAGATGTTGATTACTCCACGGGAAAGGATAAGAAGACTTGTTTGACTAGATAACTTTCAGTGGTGTTCTCAGTCTCCACAAAGAGAACACCAAAAAAACAATTCACATAGGAGACTACACAACGTTTCACAGCAGAAGCATATTTGTTCTAAGTTTCTACCAAATTACATGGGAATTTGCAACAATTGTATAGACAGAAAGATCATTTGCCATTAATTTATATTAGCAAGCCCTCTCACAATAGCAGCAATCATGCTAATTCAGCAGTTTTTTGTTCAATTTCTCATGGAGTAAAATTCTTATCCGTACAAGTCAAGGGGATGGGCCCCATGACATGTACTTCCTCCAATATTGGAACTGGGGCTGCCCTATATAGTCAAGCCCATTCATTTTCACAAGACCAATGTGCACCAGGCACAAAATAACCAGAGTCCCGATTCATAACAATTGAGAATGGGCCATGAACTGCCACCTGATCTAAACTATTTGAGTTCTGACATCGCAATTCTATAACGAATACCACCTTATTGATAAACACAGTAACAATTACCCTTCTAACACATTCTCACACTACCACCACTAAAGACCAAGCACAAAATTCTTATTTGGGACAAACAACAGCCATTGTAATTACTTTTTAACATAAAGCCATTTTTAGTCCTATTTTTATCCAACTCTAACCCATTACGAAAAAACCAAATATATGTTTTCCTTGCTTCCTGAGAAATATTGGCAACCTATGTGCAGATCAACGAGAAGTAACCACGATTGAACTTCAAAATTTGACACCAAAATAACCAGCCATATCATTTCTATATGGAGAAAAGCTCGTGGAGTCATTACAACTCAAGTCTCAGCAAATTGCCATGATGATGAAACTCAAATGATATCTGTTCAATTGATCTGTATAGCCTTAATGAATGAAAGTTTGACTTTGTTCCTTTTCTCCTGCTCTGTGAATACTTACTAGCAGAAATACTGCCCCACTTCACTTTATGCTCACCTAAAATGAAACCTTGCACCTTACCCAACCCCCAATCCATTATTTAGAGAATTACCAATTAACCACCAGGCTCAAACACAATCAAATGAATAAAATTGATATCTTATGTGTAACATAAAAAACACTCAATTTAGTCTCCATTAATACGGCTAAGAGGGGTGCACTGGATAAAATCCTATCCTTCAACATTTTTTGCACAAAGTGACTGTCTCAAGTTGAGGCTCACAACCTCCAGGTTTTTAGATTAAATTTTAACCACTAAACCACATACAGAAAAAATAAATTGAAAATTTTAGCGAAAACATGGTTTTCCTAGAATTAGGTGTCCAAAGGATAGAATGCACTAAATGAAATGAAAATTGAAAAGATTTACAACCTGATGGTATATAGATTAAGGTTAGTAAAGCAAGAATATTTTGGTACCTCTATATGTAAGCAAATGGGACAGTCGGTGCACAAATTATCAGGTATAAATTACTAATAATATCGTGAATCATGATCGCGCAATGGTTAAGACTTGAAACAACAGTATCAGTGAATTAATGTGGATTTTTGCCTGGAAGGTCAACAATAGGAGCCATATACATATATACTTAGTTGAGAGTATACCTATTTAAGAGACTCATGGAGAGCTATAAAAAGAAAAAGAAAATTTCTCATACAGCTTTTATAGACTTGGAGAAAACCTACGATAGAATCCATATTTGATATAATAAGTAACAATTCAGAGAATAAAAGAATGATAAATAGGTGTATTGATATAATGAAGGAAAAAATTGAAGAATTGAAGACTACCAAAAGTCGGGTAATGAAGAAACTTGTTGAAGACTTCATTGAATTTTATCATCAGACTAGGTTGGTAACTTGACCTAAAGACCTAGAGAACCATTAGGAGGATAAATTTGTTGATTTATTTAATTATGGTTCGAATCTTTTAATTACAACATAATTGTAGTTGACACGGAATTTTTATTGATCAAGAGTGTTTTGACAAACATATTTTTGGAAAAATATGTTAAAAAAAACAAAACTAAGGGCCACTCGCAATTGGAGATTGAGGGAGCTCTTGTTGGCTCGAGCGAGGCTATAGTAAACTAATTTGGTTCATTCTAGTAGTTGGTGCTGGCTTCACGCTTGCTTGAGGCTCAACTGAGGTCAAGCACGAGCAAAGCAACGCCGCTCAAGCGACGACAATGAATCAGATCCACAAAGTTTTCTTATTTTGAAATTTTTTTTTCCAAATTCAGTTCTATTATGTCTTGTCTATTTAAACTCATTAGGACATCTTGGTAGGGTTTTTGAGAGAACAATACACTTTGTTGAGAGCTTGAAAGACTTGGCGAAAAACCCAAGTTGCTCTCTTTGTGTGTGATTCTTCCTAGAAGACATTTAGGTTGTTATTTTTCTTGTTCAATGCAATACTTTAACCTGTGAGTATTCTTGAGTGAATATTCCTTCTAGGTGTGTCCAAAAGCCTCAACATTGTTTCTCTAAAGACAAAATTGTCCGAGTTGGCCTTGAATTCCGAGGAGGAAGATCAGGGTTTCCAAGAAGGACAAGACAACAATATTCTAAGGGGAGCGTCATCCAAATCTATACCAAAGAAGCCAATGTTCCATGAGTTGAATGGCGATTGGAAGTTCATCGGAAAAAGTAGATAAGAGAATAGCTTACATCTAGTGAGGCAAGAGAGATTTTAAGTATTTGCATCTCTACTATTGATTTCAATAGTGGAGAATTTGGGCTGGTCTTGGTTCCGTGGTTTTTTATCCATACGGGGTTTTCCACATGAAAATCGTTGTGTTCTTGTGTGCTTAATTTATTTTACATATCTGCAATTTTTATATGCATTGTTGGATGTTTCATTGATTGATCCATGCTACACAACTGATTGAATTTGGAATTAGGTCAAGTAATTTTAATTGTATTTCACCTCCTAGGTCTACTTGGGTTTAACATTAGCAATTGATCTGCACAACCTCAATTGGTATCAGAGCAACCAATTGGCAAAACCATTTGGAATTAGAGCCTTGTTCACTTGAATTAGGTTCCTAGCCTGAGTGTTTGTCAAAACCCCCATTTGGTTAGATGGATAGGAGGGAAATTCGATCTCTAACTTTAAGCGCGAAACTGAGTTAGTTATGAGTAAGACATTCATGATGCATATAAGGAATTATATAATGAAAATCTATAATTGAAAAAGGCACGTTGAGCTTTAAATAAGAAATGCATGCCTCTTGAACAAGAGAGAGATGTGCTTAGAGAAGAACTAACTGAGTCTAGGGCAACCTTGAGTAGACTGCTGGATGAAAAAGTGCAAAACCTAGACAAAATAAGCTTCTTAAAGCACGAACTGCATGAATCCATTGAAAGGCAAAAAAATTCTTAATCTACAAATAAAGAATCTTGAAAAAGAGCTGAGTTAATCAACATAAATCACTAGAAAAAGTCTCCAAGGAAAATAGAAGCAAGATGAGATGCTTAGTGTAGGAAAGATGACAATGACAAGAGGATTAGGAGTTTTACGATATACTTTGACTTCTTCCTTTTCCAAGACGGTGTTCGTTAAGGCTATCGACACTAGTGCCACAAAAGTAGAAGATATTGCTCCACACATAACAACAGAAAAAAAATTCGTTACTCGCTCAAAACCCTAAGAAGCTTGAGTCTAAACCTTTGGTTCCAAAAAAAATTATAGTGTGTTGCACATGTGGTGAACCAAGACACACTAATACTTATTGCACTCACCGTATAGATGGCCTAGATAAGAAACTAGTTAGAAAATCTGAGGCCTTGAGTAGGCGATCAATGATCTTAGGAAGGCTAAGAGTTGGAGATGTAATCACAAGTATCCATCGAAAGAGATAGCTCTTGGATTGAAGTCCGATGATTCACCTAGGACTAGAGGGAGAAGGAGAGGTAAGAAAAACAAGACTAATGTTATCCCAAGCATGCATCTTCATATAGATTTAAGGGCATCTAGATGGGGAAAAAAAAAAGATCATGGATGATATAATTGAGCTTCAGACTTTGCCGAAGGATTTCCGAAGTTCAAATTACTTTAGGAATTCTGTCGGGTGGGAACTCTGTAAAATGATAGAGTGACATGATGCATACCCTAGTGTAGTTGAGCTTACATTGCATACATCATTCTAGGGTTGTGCATTTGATAGAGTAGGTCCTTCTTTTTTATTGCATTTTCATGCTTTATACTCATATATTTATTAGGGTAAATTTCACTAACACCTCTTATAGATAGGCCAGTCTTCAACGACACCATTTGTTGTTTTTGAAATTTCACTAACACCCCTTGTCAATGCTTGTTGACTAAGAAAATTGACGGAAATGCATATTTTACCAATTTACACTAAACTTTTCCTCAAATTTACATACATGACCCAAGCAGTCCCACCACCTCTCCCATCACTCACCCCCGTCGCCCTCCTCCCAATCTGCCCCTTCCACCCAATCATGCCTCAAACCCATCAACACAATTGCCTTCACCCACACCGCACAGTTTGTGCCCACCACCACCCCCCTCTAGATTTCAACTTCATTCGATTCTCTCTAGATCTTCAACCCACAACGACAGTGCATGGGCAATTGTGGGTTGTAAAAAAATTGGCAAAATGAGTTTGAAATAAGTATTATAGTGGGTTGCTAGTGGTGAAGAAGAATGGTTATTGAGTGGTGGGTTGATAGAAGTGATCTGTTGATGGAAAGTGTTGGGGTCTTTGAAACTTCGACAACAAATACCTTTGCAAAGTCGTCGTGGAATAGTCTCATCACCGCCTAATCTTATAGGAGGTATTGTTGGTATTCTAGAAAAAGTATGTCTGTAACATCAGCAATTTTATTTTGCCAATGATGGATATTTACAGATGGGGGTGTAGCAGAAGCAATTTGTAAACTATAAGGGGATGTAGTGAAAATTCAGAAAAAATAGGTGGTGTCGTTGAAGATAGGCCAACCTACAGGGAATGTGAATGAAATTTAGCCCAAATATTAGGAAACACTCAGAGATTTTCCATTTTCTAGTTATTTAGTGTCATTAGGGTATCAGAGAAAGATTAGATAAATGCTTGGAGTAAAACCATATCTTGACATTCTTGATATCATATCTTGAAACCATATCTTGACATTCTTGATAGTTTAAGGATGATGAGAAATATACGGTATTACTTTGAATATTAGTCACGAATAAGTCTCCTTCACTTAGACATGGTTGGTGGATGATGTTCAATTAAAAGAACAAACAATCACTTATGCATGACTGACCAGTAACTACTTGGAATTAAAGTAATTGTAGTGTTTGGATCTGCAGGACTCTAGAACTTGATTAAGTAAGTGGATTTTACCTTTGGCTAGACAGTCCTTATATCTCACGTACTAAAAACAGAAATTATCAAATGAAAGGAACATATTGACAAACAAATGAGAACTTCCAATATTGGCCAAGGGGATGGATGATGATTGAGTATACAGTTTGTGATAAAATTCATGCTCAATTCCAAAAGCCAAATGGGCAAATATAAATAGCTACTGGATTCTTCCATTGTTCAAACTCTGAAGCGTCAAAGTTCCAAAATTAGAGATGTAAAAAGGAAAAGGGGTGGTAAAAGTTAAATAGTCAAGGTAATGTCGACTACTCACTAGTTGGTCTTACTTTCACTTTCTTTAATGAATTGAGCAACTTTGTAGAATGTGTCAACTCCTTATCCTAGGCTTACTTTTGAGACTGGATTAGTGTGGTCAAATTATCTAACATGTGGACTTTGATTGTTATATATGATTCTGATGTGAATGTGACCGAATAATTTGGACTTTGATTTGATAAATATTATTTGGAAAGTGTACAATTTCTTAGTTATTCTTAAATTTCAAGTTAAAAGGATGAAGTCCAAATTTGATCTGAGACATTGCATATCTTCATGTTTTTGGCATATTCAATGATATTCGGATTGTGCATTGAATGTTAGATTTTTTATTATTTTTTATTTCCGGCTAGAGCATTCCATTATTAGAGATTTTAGCATTATTCGTTTGAATTTAGATGCATTACATTGACTGGAATTGATTGATCCACAGGTTGGGGAAGTGAGAAGCCATTATGGAACGAATGTGTATCAGCCATTAAAGAGAAACAATAACTAGTGCGCGCACAAGTGAGATTGGAAAACTGATGGTTGGCCGCTTCTATGTAAAGCACGCTCCAGCAGAAGTCCCTCATTCCTCACTCATTTCTTTCCTAATCTGTTCCTTAGCCACCTAGAGCATATTCCTTAGTCTTTAGCCTACATGTAGGAACATTTCGATGGCCCCAAAGATAATAAAGAGGTCCCGTACCCAGCGAGAGGTACCTTCAGCTACACAGCTTCGTGATGATTCTTAGGTTGCAGCATACACCATGTTTGCGAGGAGGTCTATCAGAGTTGAGTGTCCACTCTTTATTGTGGTCTTTCTGGGCTCAAGAGTCATAGCAACTTTCGAAGAGAGACAATGCTTAGGTATCTTTGCACCACTCAGAGACGCTGAGTTCTGTGCGCACATGCAAATTATTGAGGACTCTCGTATTCTTCAGTCATGGGTCAGAGGAGTGAGCATAGAGATGATACCAGAGATGATTGCACCCACAGATGTTCCTCAGTATGCACTTGATTTAGTTGCCTTTGATTTGAAAAGAGAGAACTCAGTGGGGTGCATGGCTAGTGATGTATCCTAGGTTACTTATCCCACTGTTTAGATTAGTCTATAGGATAGTAGCTAACGGCATTTACCTTATAGCCATATTTCCACCTTAGGATAGCAGAGGACGAGATTGATCTATGCTATCCATAGAGGTGATGATGAACCTATGCTTAATCAAGGTGACGTCAAAGATCAAAATTTCATTTCAGTGCATTATTTCGGTCACCTAGGAAACATAAACTTTTTGACATGTTTCAGAAACGTTTCAATCCATTTCAGAAATAAAATGAAAAAATAAAAAATTTAATAATTATTTTTTTAAAACATTGGTCGAAATATACAAAAGTGTCTTGAAATACTTTGAAACATTACGAAATAATTGTACAAATGCAATGAAGCATTACAAAACTCCTCAAAACATTTCAAAGTACCTAGAATTTCAATTCCATCATTAATTCATTTCGGTCTCCTTAAAATAGAAGCATTTCGAATGTTTCGACCATTTCAAAATAAAGTTTTGATCCTTGGGTAGCGTACCCCCACTAGCATTCTAGGGAGATGCATAGGCTTAGGGTCCTCCATCTACACCTCTGTTGGATGATGCTCTAGCAAACTATATCACTATCTTAACAAAGATGAGAGACCAAATCATTAGGAGGATGGATGAGCTAGAGAGAGAGGTATGACCAAGAGGTTTACAGCTTTCGAGTGAGGGTTCACATCTTTAGAGCAGACACAAGAGATAGGCACTGAGGAGAATGTTTATCTTTAATTCTCTACAATTTTGAGTGACACAAACATTTAGGCTTATGATTATCAATCCATGTATTAGGACCTAGGTTGTTTTTGTTTCTTTTCTGCACTCAAAACTCGTGTCATTTTGATGTATATATATCTATAAGTGGGTTGAGTTTAGCTTTAATGTTATCTTATTGAATATTAATTGGCATTATGGTTATCACGTTGATAAATTGTATTATGTTTGGCTTTCTGATTTAAACTCTCTCTTAACCTTCAGTATCCCATGACAAAAAAGTGGAGTAAGAGTAAACTAATGTTACGTGATAACTGAACAAAAGAGAACATATACATAGGGGGAGAGACAATTGAATTACATGTCACATACACAATGAACAAGTTTGTTGAACACTTTGTTGGACTTCAGTAGTGCATTAGGCTGGAAAGTTGACCTAAAGACCTAATGAATCATTAGGACTTCTTGATTTATTTAATTATGGTTTCAATCTTTAATTAAATCGTAGTTGAACTTGGCCCAAAGTTTTTATTGATCAAAAGTGTTTTGTCAAGTATTTTTTTAAAAAAAATTATTTCAAAAAAACAAAAGGGCTAATTGAAATTGACACTCGAGCGAAATCATGTTGACTCGAGAGAAGTTGTAGGAAACTAATTCGGTGCATTCCAATAGTTGACTCGGACTCTGTGGTCGCTTGGCGCTTGAGGATGATCAAACACACTCGAGCAAAGCAACACACTAGAACAACTAAGATGAATCAGATTCGCAAAGATTCCATTTTTTGATAAAATTCTTTCCAAACTCAGGTATGTTATGTCTTGCCTATTTAAACTTAGACCTAGGATGTTTTGGAAAGGTCTCCAAGAAGAAAATACACCTCATTAAGAGCTTGAAAGACTTAGAGAAAAACCCTAATTGCCCTCCTTGTAAGCATGCATCTTCATATAGACTTTAGGGCATTTGGTTGAAAAAGAAGCTCACGGATGATCTACTTGACCTTCAGTCTTTACAAATATCATTTTCGATGTTCAAATTACTCCACAATTTTGCCAGTGGGAACTCTATAGAATGACTAGGTTACATGATGCATACCTAAGTGTAGTTGAGCTTGCATTACATAGTAGGTTCTTTTCGCTTGAATTTCTCAGACTTTATACTTGCATATATACTAAGAAAAATCCAAAAAGATTTTCCCTTATCTAGTTATCTATTGTCATAATGGGTATAAGAGAAAGATTGGATAAATGCTTGAAATTTGACCATATCATGATACTCTTGATAGTTTAAGGATGACGAAATGTATACTATATTACTTTGAATATTAATTGTTAGATTATATGTTTATAATTGGCTAATTTCGTTAAGCCCATTGAAATCTTAACCTATTTCATGGTCATTATACTATAATGATTGAAGATCTAAAAGCGTCATTGAAAAGAGGAGATCAAGCATCAATGATACATCATTCGTACTCTGAATGCACCTTCATGCTTAGGACAAATGTAACCTAGATACTTACGATGATCTCTTGGTTTAATAGACTTAGGAGGATTAGAGTTGCAACAGAATCGAGACTAATCCGTGTATGGCTCCTAGGCGTTTTTCAGTGAAAAGATTTTTTAAACTGCTTTGTGTTTTGAAAACATAGTTTGAACTATTAGCGGACCCCTCTTGAGCAACGCCGTTTAGTGCTCAAGAGGATAAATTTTTTGTTTAGTTTTAGACTTAAAAAATCAGTAGGGATGGTCTTATACTCTCTAGCCTCGCTAGAACGTTCTTTTCATGACTTAGGAAAAAGACAGACAAAGGCTAAACGAAGGAGGAGCTGGACCGCCCTTGAGGCCACTAGAGCAGTCCCATGGTCACTTGAGCAATCTGCTCTTCCTAGGTCAGTTTGAAATTCATTTTTCATTCCCAAGACCACCGCCTTATGACAGCCCTCCCACCGATCGAATGGTCGTTCGCGAATCTGAGTTTTCTTGTTGACTAAGACTACCTTTATTCCGGACTTATAAATAAGGAAAGTCTTTCCTATAACTAGGGTAAGCCTTCAGCAAGCCTTTTGAAGAGAGAAATATATCTTAAACCTAAAGAGCTTCCACCATAACCTTAGATCCCTTAATCCCAAAGTTACCATCTAGAGATTCTACCCAACTTCACAATTTGGTATTAAAGATCTTGATTAGTTGAAGACCAAACTCATTAGTGTATGCATTCCAAGGATAGTTGGTGCGTTCAAGATCGCTCGAGGCCTAGAGGATGCTCACAGAGGTGAATCGAGGGGAATCTAAGTGAATCTGCATATAACGTTGAAGACAGAGTTTCAGTGGAGAGGCTAATTGAAGGAAGAGAACATTTAACCATGGTATTGGTAGGTATAAAACTTTAGTACTTGTAACCTGATTTTAGGGTAGTGGATTAAGTTTCGGTGAACCGAAAAGGTTGTCTTTTTCTGCATCAATAAATCAATTGTGTCATTTATTGCTTTTCATATACATTGTGATTTGATGCACACGCACACTATATACTTGATTTGAATGAATATTTGAATATCATAATTGTTAAGTTTAGAGAATGAAAAAAATTAACCCAATACAAGAGAGAGGCAGAGAATAACTTAATGTGTACCTCTCACACTCAACTCATATTTATAGTAACCTAGTAAGAATACAAATGACTAGTATACCCTCAGAAGGATATACTTATTACATCATAAATATTAAATAATATGACACTAACACTGCCAACACTCCCCCTCAAACTGGAGCATATATATAATATAATCCAAGTGTGGAATAACTAGTTGTAAGACGAGTACGACTCAATGCCTTGGTAAACATATCTGCAAGTTGATTCTCAGATCTCACAAATGAAGTTGCAATATTTCCAGCTAGTACCTTGTCTCGAATGAAGTAACAATCAACTTTAATATGTTTAGTTTGCTCATGGAACACCGGATTGACAGCAATATGAAGAGCTACTTGATTATCACAGAACAATTGTAATGGAAGTTGAACTGGAAAACCAATCTCCTAAAGGAAGTATAGTAACCATGTCAGCTCATTTGTTGTATGTATCATTGCTTTATACTTAGCCTCAATATTGGACTATGCTACTATTGTTTGTTTCTTACTTTTCCATGTAACAACTTTATCTCTCAAGAAAGTATAGTAACCAGTAGTTGATTTATGATATAAGAGAGAACCAGCATACTCAGCATCTGAAAACCTTCCACTCTGAGATGTCCATACAATCCATGAGCACGTTTAAGATATTTGAGGATACGAATAACTGCATCCCAGTGTAGTACTCTAGGACATCTCATAAACTGGCTCACAACAATAACTACATAAACAATATCCGGCTGAATAATGGTAAGATAACTTAGCTTCCCAATCAACCAGCGATACCGACCTAGATTTTCAAACAATACACCATCTTCTAAATTGGATCCATCAGAATATCAATTGGTCTACCATATAATAAACCTGCTTCCTCTAGCATGTCAAGTACACATTTTCTCTGAGATAAACAAATGCCCTGCTTGAATCTGACAACTTCGATACCTAAGAAATATCTAAGAATTTTCAAATCCTTAGTATAAAATTAGTCCTACAAGAAGATTTTTAACTTGGCAATACTCTCTCAATCATTCCCAATAACTACAATATCATCCACATAAACAACCAATACAATGTACCCTGTATTAGTTTGTCTGTTGAAAACAGAGTGGTCTGTCTGACACCGAAGAAAACCAAATTCTAAAACTGGCACTGAGAATTTACCAAACCATGCCCATGGTGACTGTTTTAAACCATACAGGGAGAGATCAAGTATCAAAGTTACATTATTTGCACTCCGAATTCACCTTCAAGATTTGGACAAAGGTAATGGCCTAGATAATTAAGATGATCCCTTAATTTAATAAACGTAAGAAGATTAGAGTTAAAATGGAATTAGGAATAATTTGTGTATGACTCCCAAGTGTTTTTCAACAAAAAGATTTACTAAACCATTTTGTGTTTTGGAAAATAGAATTTGAGTTATTAGCAGAACCCCTTTGAGGAACACCCTTCAGTGGTCAAGAGTAAAAGTTTTTTGCTTGATTTTACACTTAAAAAATCAATAGAGATTGCCCTATGCTTGCTAGCCTTCGCTAGAGTTGTCTCTTCATGACTTAGGAAAAAAATGAACAAAGGCTAAACGAAGGAGGAACGGGGACTGCCCTTGAGGTCGCTCAAGCGATCTTAGAGGTCATGCTGTCTGCTCTTCCAAGGTCGAACCAAAGAGGGTATAAGACTCAGGGAGGGTATACCCAGTCCGACCCGTGTGCGTTGTTGTGTATGGTTGAAAATATAGATGTTGTGTCGTACTCCCAACCAACTGAATTTGGCATAGTGGTCAGCGCATCCATCCAACACAATGGTTTTTACCCCATGTGTGGCTTTCCATGTAAAAATTATTGCAATCTTGTGTGCTTGATTTATTTTACATATTTGCATTTTTTATGTTTGGTTTGATGTTTCATTGATTGATCCATGCTACACAAGTGATCAAATTGGGAATTAGGCCAAGTAAATTTAGTTTGTGTTTGTTTATGCGTTAAAATTATTCACCACCCTCTAAATTTAGTAGGATTTGATATTGACAATTGGTCCACGCAACCTCAATTGGTATCAAAGCAACCATTGGAAACATCAAAACTCATAAAACTAAAGAAGTGGGGACTAAGTCAAGGCATGCATCTAGTATACTATGTGATCCACATATACTTCTTAAGTTGAAAGGACGTTTATATGACAACTTAGCAATGTTTCATGGTACGAAATGTTGGGCAATTAAGAAACAACACCCATAAACGTAGAAATTTGGTGAACTTATGTGATAAGAAGCAATCGGATGATGCTACGTCCAGTGTATAAAAATTTAAAGCTATGGCTCATAGTGTATTATTAATTCATTGAAGGAACATAATTTTGATTCAAAAGAGTAAATGAAGTTGTACTATGGTACTAAGGCAGTGATCAACATTGCTCATAATCAAATATAGCATGATAGAGTCAAGCACGTTGAATCTTGTACACACCATATCAAAGAAAAGTTAAACGTTGGTTTGGTTTGTACTGTTTCTGTGAAGATTGAGCGAATACCCTGCATCGTTTGATTTCATTATGGATTTCTTTTTTTCTATCTCAAGGAGCTACGTGGGGTTTTTCATGGTTGGGCTTAACACTATGCAAGCAAATTAATGCTTTCTTAGGGTTTTCGCATGGTAGACAAAAAAAAAGTGACAAAATGTTATATTTGGTTTCCCCAAAGGCTCTTAATTGAAGGATTAATTTCCATGATGCTTGAGCAGCATTTATTATTAAGTACAGAAGTGTTATATTCAATGTTCACCCCGGCAACCAAGCGTATCCCAGAAATTTATAAGGCAAAAAAAACCACCTCCCTGACCAAAGCTCTGAATAGTATACTCCAAATCACACTACAAAAAGGAAAGAAAAAAAAAATAGATGTCATCTAAAACCTTGAAAAAACATTGTCCCTTTGTCAATCCAAAATGTAGCACGTCAATAGTAATGAGGAATCCTAAAATCTCTCTCATAAAACCTTATCTTTTATGTTTAGTCTGAAGAATGACTACATTGGCAATATCAAAACCTCGTGAAAGTAACCATTGCCATGGAAGACCAGCCAAAATACTAAAGCAGAAATTTGAGGCAAACACAGCTGATAATCACAAGAAACCACAAAATAAAGCTTATTCAGATCATAAATATGCAACATGGTTAGCCAAACAACATTCGTCAAAATTGAAAGGCATTAATATTTGCAGTTAATAACTTTTGGAAGAACAAAGAACGAATAAATTCAAAAGGTACCACACATGGAGTCAGAGATATAAACATACCAGTTTCCGCAATGACTTCTGGCACGTCTGCCTCTGCTTCAGGATCCATTTCTGGGTCTGTATCCGGTCGGCCTTCCTTTCCCTTTATGCTATCATCAATCACTTTGAACAAGTAAGTATCAAAATTATCAGCTAACCCTAATTCCCTCCTCTTGTGACCATCGAGAGACCAGTATGACCCAGGCCCAGCCTCCGATTCCAATTGCTTGATTCTTTCGTATTCAGCAAGCAGCGAGTCCCACTTCCTCTTACATTGATTCATACTCCTATGCACCTCCAAGGCTTTGCAGTTTTCGGCTATTATCTGCCACTTCTGGAAAGATGACAGTGTATTACGACAATCTCTTTCGGTGGCATTAATCTCATTCACAAGAATGAGTGATTCTTGCACAGTCCAGTCAGGAGCCACCTGAGACCGCGTACGTCGAGAACCTAAAACCCGCGATTGATGATGGCTTCTGTCATTCTTTTCCATTTCACAGTCAATATCTTCTTCCTTTGTAGATGTTTGTAAGTATTCAAGCCCATTTGTGAATTGGGCTTCTTCCATTTTGTGTTTACTGAAGCTGCATGCGAGTCACAAGATGGATACACACATCCAATGTCAACAACTATAACAGATATCAACTCATAAGCCAAATCTATAACAATGTAAAAAACTCTCTTTGACAGCTAACAAAAAGAAAGGATAATAAACAAAAATTCCAGCTCATTTATACAATATAGAGTTCATCTGCACCAAAATTACAGACATACGGAAAATTTAGACTCCAATCTGTCTTCCTTTGTGTGTGTTCTAGTTTCCAAAACACATTTCTGAGCCAGTGTTCTTCCAATTTCGTTTATTCAATCCAAATGATTGACATCTAATGGAAATATATGCACATACAAACATTTAGGCATTCATCAGCAACTGTAAAAAATGTTAAACCAAAATCATAAAAACTGCCACGTAAACATCCTATTTGCCGTCTGAGAAATGCAAGTGGGGCACAGAAACATTGGGTTATTCACAAATGCAAACAGAAAGACATGGTAAAAATGCACACAGTGATATCAATTGGAGTTATTGATGCACATAGATCATAGTATCATACAATAATAATAATCTTCGAGCAATTGAAGTAACAATAATTTCGCTTGAGTCGCAATTTTCTCTTTCTCTAAAAAATTGAGATTGCGGTCTGGGTTCATATACCACTGGCTTTTGGACCATCGGGCATTTAGGCGTTACCTCGGTTGATGTTCAGATATCGGAAAAACTCAGGCGACTGCTTATGAATTCGGCCAAGATTATGTTCTTTCCTTTCCACCTTTCCGTTTCCTCTTCTTCTTTGTATGGGTCGAGGTAAAGGATCGGAAAGGTGTCTTCGCCTGCGGACGATAGGAGTAACCTGACTCGGAAAACAAAACCGGCTCATTCACTTCTGCCCAAATATTAGGTGAATCACACTGAGACTTAAATCTTCAAGACCTCTGCTTAAGCCGTTCAAATTTAAAAAATTATATTTAGATCAAAAATATATTAAACAATAATAAAATATTAAATATTTTAAATTTTATAACTAAAATTTATATTTTATTATGACATTTATTGAAATAAAATTTTAATTTTTTAAAAAACAATATAATTAGTATATTATTATATTATCTATTATAATTTAATTATCTCAATTAAAATTAGAATATATTTTGTTCATTACAGTTTGACCTCTTATTTGATTTTTTAGTTTTATTCTAATAGATAGTATAATTGTATAAGAAAAAATTAAATTTTTATTTTTGATTTTATTTCAATAAATGACATAATAAAACATGAATTTTAGTTGTAAAATTCATGTTGTATTATAAATGACTTAAACCTCTTGTTTGATTTTTTAATTTTATTTCAATAAATAGTATAATTGTATATTAATTACGATTTTTTTTTAAAAAATATTTTTTATTTTTAATTTTATTTCAATAAATGATATAATAGAACAGGAATGTTGATTATAAAATTTAAAAATTTTTATAATAAAATATTTAATTAGAGTATTTTTGGTCTAAGTGTAATATTTTAAACTTGAGGAGTTCAAGTATTATACGCTTACAAATTTCAGGAGATCTGGGTTTAATTTATACTAACTGACATTTGATGGCACAGGTCTAAGTGTTACGGGTTTACAAATCTCAGGAAATTGTGTATAATATTTCAAATATCAAAGAGTCTTAGTGATTAAATGACAAATTTTAGAAAGTTTAAATGTAATTCTCCCTAAATATTAAGCTGACTAGCAACTATCTGATACTTTGCAATACTAAAATCAAACATTAATGATACAATATTTTTTTAAAAACAAAATTCTCTATAATCACACAATTTAAAATTAATTAAACAAAACTAAAATAAAAAAGAAGTAAGGGATAGAGAATAGAGGAATAAGTATGAATTGGGAGTTAAATAACAACCCTTTTTTAAATAAATATTGTGGACTTAACAGATGAAAAGCACATTTAGTAATCATGCTTTTAACACATAAGCGTTAAGCGTGGTTATTAAACATGTTTTTTGTTGCAATGACAGAACTTGGAATCGTGAATGCTTCTCTCCCTCTACGATCTCTCAAGAGTTTGTCGTCAATTTAAACTCCATCTTTTCCGATGCTACCTCCCAATAAGCTAACATAACTCTCTTCATAGTAGCCTCAGAACTTCCTACGCCTAAGAACTCTTCGAATCCTTTAGTAATTTAAGCTCTGAAACGCAGCCCACCACCACTGATGATGTCATTTCCTGGGGAAAGATAATTATGTTAGTAGTATGCTCTAAGACCAATCATATAGATGATATGTTTTGGGTTGTATTAGCAACATTCGTTACTTAATTAAATAAAAGAACAAGCTTATTTATCATGCTACTAGCTAATTTCATTTTAGTATACATAATATAGTCCATAGAGTATAAGTTAAGAAAATATTGTCTCAAGGACTTGAGAAGAGGAGACTTATACCTCTTAGTACATAATTCTTAAATGTTCCTAGTCATAGAATTACTATGTGGGCACTATGTAATCTGAATAGACTAATATATGTTATGTTTACTCATATCTGATATGAGGTGACTCGTCCAAATCACTAGTGTAGGGACACTAAAGCAAGTATGTGAGAATTTGTTGGAGAACAAATACACTGAATGTGACAATTGACTAACGTATGATTTTTCATATAAAGTTTTACATACCTATTAATGTTAAATCCTAAAGTTATAGTTATGCAATTGATCCTTAGACTTGAGACAATCATGGTTGTCTTATGCATGAACTTTTATGCTTTAACTATACAACACATTCATATACTAACCATGTAACTTAGATATTTATTATTGAACATAGTTAAACATGTATGAAGGTTCATGAGTATACAACATATAATCTATTACCCTTAGTAAATAAAGAGAGAATGTCATGTGTGATCTACTAGGATATAACTCAACGAGTCTTTGGCCAAGGCAGAATGACAATTAGAAAAAGGGTTTCTAATTGATCATTAAGAGTCAGAGTCCTAAGATTTAATACAGAAGATTGGGTTAGGGATTTGACAGTAATTTCATACCCTTATTATTCAATTAAGGTATTTTTTGATAGAAAGATTGAATTACAAGGTAATTGTAGACTGAATATAGTATGTGCTATCCAGAAGTTGATTATGATATGTTGCAAAGTATCACTCATGATTAGTAGAAGCCCGAATATTGAAAATATATTAATTGTTCTTCATAAAGGGAGAATTAGAAGAGTTATAATTCAAGTTAAATTAGAAAGAGTTCTAATTTGATATGGTACTTGTAGTTAGTATTAAATGCCTACAATAGGGTATGCTTAAACCTAGAGGGTCACACACAATAGAATTGATTGAAAATTAGAGAATAAAGGAGAGAAAACCAATTAAGAGTTCATTGGGTTGAAAACCTATTTAAGAGTTAATTAGTGACTTTATTATAATTAATGGTTAATAAAGGGATTATATGTAATTACGAGATAATTGCAACTTTGCCCAAACTAGGATTAGAGTCTTTAAAACTTTATAAACCTTTATGTAGTAGGTGGATATATGATATAACAACTCTCTTACTAACACAAGAAGAATCACCCCTTATTCTCTCTCTACTAGTCTATCAATAGTTAAGGTAGATTATTCAAGTTTATCAATTCGTGTGGATACCGATAGAAGCCAAAAATTTGTGAGACTCAGGGTAAAGATCAAATTCAGATTTGAATATTTAAAATTTTTGAGAATGCTTGAAGATCGTTAAAGTCACGTTTCAAGAGGAAACTCTTAATCTTCTCTATAAATCTAAGGTTTCTCAGTTTATATTAAACATGAATAGATCTTGATATGAGGAATCAAATTATTATTTTTTTAAAATTATATGATTCCTTTCAAATTCCACACGAACTCCATTCTTTGAACAACAACTCGATAAGTATCAAAAGAGAGATTATTTGAGCCCAATCAAATCAATGTTGTTTTGCAAAACTCCTAGTCTTCTTCACTTTCCTAAGCTGAGATTAAAAAAAAAAGGCAAATCTCAAGCAATTTCACTTTCAGTAGCTATTTTTTAAAGTTGTGGCAATATGAAATATTAAAGCACCATCGACGAAAGCACTAAAAGAGGAAGGATTCTAAAAAGGGTGGTCCCCTATGTGGCACGTGCACTTGCATTAAATGATTTCACATGAGCAAGACAAGACCAATCACGTGACAAAGACATTATTACAATGACTCATTGACTCATCAGTCTGAAACTGAGCTATTCAAAGAGCTCAGGACTAAGGTGAAGAGGTCGGTCTTCAGCATGACCGAACTGTTTCAAACAGTAAACGAAGAGCTAAAGAGATACCTATAACTCAGGCATTCTAGTTAAACGTATTGGCGTAATTATAGGCCCGATAGAAGGAACTGCTGGAGAGATCTTAGCAACTTTCCAAACAGAGTCCCCTAATTAGAGGAATGTGTACCACCTTGAATCGAGAATTATGGAAACCCTAACTGAACTGGGGTCTATAAAAGGTACAAAGAACCAAGGTGAAAGGTACGCTGGACTCTCTTTTTCTTCCCATTGTTTACTGAATTCCATTACTAACTTAAGTATCAGAGTGTCTTCGATCGAAGCACTTCAATCTTGGGCAATGTGTTCATTTTTGCAAGAAGAAAAAACTTGGAGAATGAGTTCAAAGTTCATTCACAAAAAAGACACCATTTAATCATCCCCGTAAGAGGTACTCTCATTTTTTGCCTCTTACATTTGGCGTCGTCTGTGGAAAGTTTCTTATCAATTGAAACGAAAAGCCAATGTCAAGATTGAGAAGTGCCATCGAATCACCTGTAGTCAGTTTTGCCTTGAAAAATTCCGATCCAAACTATAGAGTGTCGCTTCCATCCGATAGCGACATGAGGATACATGTAGAAAAAAACCCATCCAAACCCCGTGAGGATGACGAATTGTCTTCAGCAAGCTTCAAACCATCCAGGCAGTGGAATCAGCAAAACAACGACCATGGTGAATCACTCCGTGCCAAGGGGGAGAACCATTCCTTGGCAAAGTTGGTTCAATCCCTGTAGGACCGACTTGACACACATGACAAATTGTTTAAAAAATCCTACGTCAGGGAAAAGGATCTAATGAAAGAAAACAAGGAGTTAAAAGCCAGACTGAAAGAAATAACTAAGAGAGAGAAACGTAACAAGGAAAGCCAACAAGAGAGTCCCGAGAAAAAATGGGATAGAAGGGAAAATACTGAGGATGATAAGTACAAATAGAAAAGACCTCGGGTCCTGGAGAAGATTCCTGGAAGCAGTTCATCACTGAAGAGCTCAACAACCGATTAAAGAGACCAGAGCTGAAATCGGCTAGGGACCTAGCCAAAAGAGCAACCGAAGAATATGGAGACGGTTTAGAAATATCTCCTTTTACCTTGTGGATCAAAAGAGGGCGAATCCCGAGTAAATTCACCATCCCAAACTTCAAGTTGTATGATGGAAAGACTGATCCAACCTCCCATATCAGACACTTTAGGTAGCTTATGACCATTCATCGAAGGAATGAGTTGTTGCTCTGCACCATCTTCCCAAGTAGCCTCGGGGAGTCGGCCATGAAGTGGTTCGACAATTTGCCAAAGGGGTCGGTTGATGGATTGTCCCAGTTAGCCGAGCAATTTACAGCTCGGTTCATTACAAGCAGTAAACAACCCAAAGACATCGGGGCTCTGCTTATACTGAAGAAGCAAAAAAATGAAACTTTGAGATAGTACACTCATCATTACTAGGTAACGATAAATGAAATTGAAGCATGTAACCCTGAAATTGTTGTGTCGTCCTTCAAAATTGGATTGCCAAAGGAAAATCCTTTATAT